TTCAGACAAAAGGTGATTCCCCTGGAGAAGTAAATGGCAAACCACTCTAGTATATTGGCCAAGAAAACCCCATGGCCGGTATTACAATGCTAAAAGATATATCAGAATGGCATACTACTTTTGGTCCATGTGGTCATGAAGAGTCTGACAGTGAACAACATTTGAGTAAGTCTAAAAAAATTTTTTTAAAGGGGTTTAAAGTTGTGATTGGTTGTTTTATCTAAAGGTGTTTAGAGTTTCAGTTCTTTGTCTCCTTTTTAAGGTATTTGCTTTGTAATTCTCCTGTTAAATCCCGGTGCCCCCACCTTTTCTATTTCCATAATAATTTTTTGTTTTCTTATTATTTTGTCCCTGTAGTTTCTCTAAGAATTTGTGCTAGTTTACCTTTTTTCATGCTTCCTTAGTAACAGTGAATTTATCTTTTGTATTAAGGTCCTATGATCTCTTTGATGGGATTGCCTAGTAGAGATCTACTCTTGAAGATGGACTCATACATTGCTGAAGATCCACATTTGGAAAACTATTTGTTCCTTTTAATACTTGGTAACTTTAGGTGTTGTTGGTAATCCATTCAACTTTTGCAATGAAAATTTACCTAATTCTTTATAAAGGTATCAAGGACACCTTTCTTTAGCTGCATAGGGTGCCAAGTTGTTTTTTTTTTAACGTATGTAAAAGGAATGTACAGAGCTCATATTAAGGGAAAATGACAGTTTAAGTTGATCTTGTATTGAATCATTCATCTAAATACTGGGACAGCCATTGATTCTTTTTTTTTTATTAATTTATTTTGATTTATCAACCATCACTTCCATAAGCTTTTGAGTTTTAAATTTTTTCCCCCTCCCTCCCCACCTCCCTCTGCAAGACAGTTCACAATCTGATATAGGCTATACATATATATGCCTATTAAACATATCTTCACATTAGTGATGTTGTAAAGAAGAATTAGAACCAATAGAAGGAATCACAAGAAAGAGGAAGCAAAACAAAACAGAAGGGGAAAAAAAAGAGCAAATAGTAGGCTTTGGTCTGCATTCAAACCCCATAGTTCTTTCTTTGGATGTGGATAGCATTTTCCATCATGAGACTTTTGGAGTTGTCTTAGATCCTTGCATTGCTGAGAAGAGCTAAGTCTATCAAAGTTATTCATCTCACAATGTGGCTGTTGCTGTGTACAATGTTCTCCTGGTTCTGCTCACTTCACTCAGCATCAGTCATACAAGGCTTTCCAGGTTTTTCTGAAGTCTGCCTACTCATCATTTCTTTTTTTTTTTTTTGCTAGGCAGTGGGGTTAAGTGACTTGCCCAGAGTCACACAGCTAGTAAGTGTCATGTGTCTGAGGTCAGATTTGAACTCAGGTCCTCCTGAATCCAAGGTCGGCACTCTATCTACTGCGCCACCTAGCTTCCCCTACTCATCATTTCTTATAGCACAATAGTATTCCATTACATTCATATACCACAACTTGTTCAGCCATTCTCTAATTGATGGGCATTCCCTCCATTTCCAATTCTTTGCCGCCACAGAAGGAGCTGCTATAATTATTTTTGTACATGTGGGTTCCTTTCCCACTTTTATGATCTATTTGGTATACAGCCCTAGAAGTGCTATTGCTGGGTCAAAGGGTATGCACATTTTTATAGCCCTTTGGGCATGGTTCCAAATTGCTTCCCAAAATGGATGGATTAGCTCACAACTCCAGCAACAATGCATTAGTGTTCCAGTTTCCCCACATCTTCTCCAACATTTATCATTGTCCTGTTTTGTCATGTTGGCCAATCTGATAGGTGTGATGTGGTACCTCAGAGTTGTTTTGATTTGAATTTCTCTAATCAATACTGATTTAGAGCATTTTTTTCATATGACTATAGATGGCTTTAATTTCTTTATCTGAGAATTGCCTGTTTATATCCTTTGACCATTTATCAATTGGGGAATGACTTGTATTGTTATAAAATTGACTTAATTCTCTATATATTTTAGAAATGAGGACGTTAGCAGAACCAGGAGAAAATTGTGCATAGTAACAGCCAGGTGGTACGATGACTAACATTAATACTTTTAACCCTTCTCAGCAGTACAGGATCTAAGACATCTCCAAAGTCCTCATGATGCAAAATGCTATCCACATCCAAAGAAAGAACTATGGAGTTTGAATGCAGATGGAAGCATACTATTTGCTAATTTTTTCATCTGCTTTTGTTTTGTTCTTTCTGGTTCCTCCTTTTGGGTCTAATTCTTCCTTACAACATGACTAATGTGAAAATATATTTAATAGGAATGTATATGTATAGCCTATATCATATTGCTCGCTGTTTTGGGGAAGGTGGGGGGGAAGAAGGGAGAGAAAAATGTTAAACTCAAAAGCTTATGAAAACGATTGTTGATAAATAAAAATAAATTAATTTAAAAAAAAAAGAAATGAGGCCCTTATCAGAGACAATGGTTGCAAAAATTCTTTCCCAGTTTTCTGCTTCCCTCCTAATCTTGGTTGCATTGGCTTTGTTTGTGCAAAAACTTTTCAATTTAATGTAATCGAAATTATCCATTTTGCATTTCATGATGTCCTCTATCTCCTGTTTGGTCATGAATTCTTCTGTTCTCCATAAATCTGATAGGTAAACTATTCCTTGCTCTCCCAATTTGCTTATAGTATCAGCCTTTATATCTAAATCATGAACCCCTTTTGACTTTATTTTGGTATATGGTGTGAGATGTTGGTCTATGCCTAGTTTCTGCCATACTCTTTTTCAGTTTTCCCAGCAGTGTTTGTCAAACAGTGAATTCTTATCTCAGAAGCTGGGGTCTTTGGGTTTATCAAGTAGTAGATTATATAGTCATTGACCACTGATCCACCACTCTATTTCTTAGCCAGTACCAAGTAGTTTTGATGATTGCTGCTTTATAATACAATTTAAGATCTGGAAAGGTTAGGCCACCTTCTCTTGCATTTCTTTTCATGAGTTCCCTTGACATTCTGGACCTTTTGTTATTCCAAATAAATCTTGTTATTATTTTTTCTAGCTCCATAAAATAATTTTTTGGTAGTTTGATTGGTATGGAATGGAATAAGTAAATTACCTTAGGTAGAATTGTCATTTTTATTATATTAGCTTAGCCTACCCATGAGCAAATGATGTTTTTCCAATTATCTGACTTTGTGTGAAATCAGATCTGATTTTATTTGTGTGAAAAGTGTTTTGTAACTGTGTTCATATAGTTCCTGGGTTTATTTTGGTAGGTAGACACGTAAATATTTTATAATGTCTACTATTACTTTAAATGGAATTTCTCTTTCCATCTCTTGCTGTTGGGCTTTGTTGGTAATATATAGAAATGCCACTGATTTATATGGGTTTATTTTATAGCCTGCAACTTTGCTAAAGTTATTTATTATTTCAAGTAGTTTTTTACTTGATTCTCTAGCATTCTCTAAGTATAACATCATATCATCTGCAAAGACTAATAGCTTTATTTCTTCTTTGCCAATTCTAATACCTTCAATTTCCTTTTCTTGTATTATTGCTAAAGCTAACCTTCCAGTACCATGTTGAACAACAGTGGTGATAATGGACATCCTTGTTTCACCCGATCGTATTAGAAATGCTTCTAGATTATTCCCATTACATATGATGCTTGCTGAACATTTTAGGTAAATACTACTTATTCTTTTAAGGAAGACTCCACTTATTCCTATGCTCTCTAGTGTTTTTAATAGGTATGATATTTTGTCAAAAGTTTTTTCTGCATCTGTTAAGATGATCATGTGGTTTCTGTTAGTTTGTTGCTGACATGATCAATTATGCTGATAGTTTTCCTAATACTGAACCAGCCCTGCATTCCTCATATAAATCCTATGTGGTTGTAGTATATTATTCTCATGACAGATTGCTGTAATCTATTTGCTAATATTTTATTTACAATTTTTGCATCTATATTCATTAGGGAAATTGGTCTATAATTTTCTTCCTCTGTTTTGACTCTTTCCAGTTTAGGTATCAGCACCATATTTGTATCATAAAAAGAATTTTGGTAACATTCCTTCTTTGCCTATTTTCCCAAATAGTCTATATAGTATTAGAATTAATTGTTCTTTAAATGATTGATAGAGTTCACTTGTAAATCCATCTGGCCCTGGAGATTTTTTCCTAGGGAGTGCATCAATGGCTTGTTCAATTTATTTTTTCTGAGATGGGGTTATTTAAGTGTTTTACCTCCTCTTCTGCTAATCTGAGCAGTTTGTATTTTTGTAAATTTTCATCCATAAGATTGTCAAATTTATTGGCAAAGAGTTGAACAAAATAGTTCCTAGTTATTGTTTTAATTTCCTCTTCATTGGTGGTAGATTCATCCTTTTCATTTTTGATACTGGTAATTTAGTTTTCTTCTTTCTTTTTTTTTAAATTAAATTAACCAAAAGTTTATCTATTTTATTGGTTTTCCTTTTTCATAAACCAGCCCTTAGTTTTATGTATTAGTTCAATAGTTTTCTTAATTTCAATTTTGTTAATATCTCCTTTGGTTTTCAGTATTTCTAATTTGGTATTTGCCGGGAGCGCCTGCATCCCTGGCTGTGGTCTGATGCCGGCAGAGTGTGAAGAGAGAAAGAAACACGGGCCAGGTAGAAGATGTGAAGAACAAACTTCGTTTATTGATCTGAGGGCTCAGGCTTATATAGTACTGGATCAAGCAACAGTAACATTATTATTCATGAAAAGTACAAATCTAACTAAGTCATTTCCTTACTTCCTTGTACCTTGTCTGTTATATTCTTTGCTGCGTCCTGTCCTGTACCCCATCCATTTCCTCCCTTCCTGCATCCTGTTCTCAAGAGATGGAACAGGAGGGTGGTGAGCCAACATCCTGAGTTTCACAGCTGTCAGGCTTAGTACAATCTACAGGTAAGACCCGGGCTGGCCTGAGCCCTCCAACTCCCCAAAGCCGGCCCTTTACATCTCCCCCTTTCTTTTGTTCTAGCTTGAGAACGTGGGATGCACATCAGGAGAAAACTCAAGAGTAACAAGAATACTATCAGGGTGCGAAATGCAACAGCAAACTTGAAATATTCTGGAAAGTGTTAAGTTGCTTGATATAGTACAATAGCTTATAAACAATATCTTGAGGATCAATACCATCCATATTATGTTTTTGGAATGCCAAGCACCCTGAAGCTCATTCAATATTTGATCAAGAGTTATATTGGTAGTATTAGAAAGCAAATAGGGAGTTACACAGACAAAAGTATAGTGGTCAAGTTACAGGTTTAACCCAAAGTGGGGTAAGACATATAAGTCCAATGTAATCATGACTCTGTCCCGGAGCCATCTGCGACAGTCATCATTGCAAAAAGGACAGTCAGCATCTTATTACTGGCTCTTCGTCTTCTTGGTCTCGCCTTCCTCTTCTGCTTGTCTCTCCAACCAGTTTTTCCTTTGATGCTCAGGGTCTCTATCCCTCTGGTCAGTATGCTGACAGGTGCAGATGTTCATCTCAGGAACCCAGACTGGTTCTCCTGCATGTTCTGGAAAAATACAAGCATAACCTCAACCCCAGGTTAGTAATTTTACTGGACCATCCCAATTACCCATCTTTGGATCCTTCCACATTACTGTGACATCTGGTTGCTCATCTAACAACCTGTTCTTTTGCCCTGCAAAATGTTTTTGTGCAGGAGTACGTCCCTGATCATCTAGTGTCAAAAAATTTTATGGTATATATTACCTGATCCAATCTCCTTTTTAAATTTATGGTATATATTACCTGATCCAATCTCCTTCTTACCCTATTTTCTATTCCCTCTTTTTTCTGTTTATCAAGGAGGATTTTAATATCTTTGTTGCCCCTTTCAACAATGGCTTGTCCAGTAAGATTGTCGGGATGCCAGTAGAGTGAGTGATATTATAGGTGAGACAAAATTGTACAAAATTCCTGCTAGTATAGGCGGGACCATTGTCAGTCTTGAGGTGTCTTGGATTGCCAAGAATACTAATGCAAAACAAGAAATGATATTGCTTATGTCCTTCTTAAAATATGTAAGTAATCCAAAGTATCTGCTTGTCTTCATATGATATTCATCTTTCCCCACTTTTTTTTTGCACACACTCACACATACGTTGTAATTACACTTAAAAAAACATGAATGACACATTGATATGAAATAAAGGAATTTTAGAATAAAACTCTCCCTAACATTGTGTGATTGTTCAGTAGAAAAATAGCCAACTAAATATGATTAAGTAATGTTTAGAACAGCATAAATTTAGGTAGCTAAGAAATCAGTTATGTATAGAAATGTGTTTAAGGCTATGCTTCTTGGCAGAAAACACAGAAATAACTAAGTTTCCTATCTGTACTTAAAAAAAGATTCCCTAATTGTTTAATTAATAAAAATTATTTTCAACTCTTAAATGTTATTTTAACTACTGACCAGGCTATGACAAATTTATGCTGGATTTTCTAATACAAGAGGGGAGTTAGGCAATAGAACTCTGCAGCAAAGCAAAAGAATTTCTTTGGGCAAGGGTAAAAATCTATTTGTAAATATTCAAAGACAAATAAATGTCCTCTTTCCCACTTCACTTATTTAATTTGCTTCCAAACCCTCCCAAAGAACCACCAGGAGAAATGAAAGCCTAAAATATTGCTATTAATATTCTAACAAAGTCAGAATGAATAATTTTTTAAATCAAAAAGTTCTATCAAAGATATGTTAAAAAGGACTTATGAAGTTATAGCCTTTTTTATAGTGTAAAATATATTAAGATTTTAGCTATATTATAACTAGTACTAAGGAGCTGATTCAGAAAATTTACAAGCTGCATCTTACTGGAAATTTTAGTATACATACAGTGCATTAGACTGTGTTTAACATACAAACTGCTCATGTCAAATTTCTAAAGCAGAGAGTTTATTTACTGCTACCCTTGAACTTTCCTCCCCACCTGATTACGAAAACAAATTGGTTTGTTTTCTAATTATTGATATAATTTAGCTTCTCAAGTAATTTTCCTCTTTTTTGAATTGCAACGTAATTTTTTAGTTACCTAAATGGTGGTTGTAGATAAAATGATACAAGCTTTATTTTTCTAGAATTACCATTAAGATAGAACTCTTGATTTACAAACTGATCTGAAATGAATGGAAGATTGCAAAGGACATGTATCTACAAAGGCTATAAAATTAAGTATGCTATTTTAGCTCTAACTTCAATTTTATATATATATATATGGGGCAAATGTCCCATTTTGTTTGATTATGAAAAAGGATCTAAAACGAAATCCCGTTAACCACTGATTTTGGTTAGTCTGCTCATCTGCCATATCACATTTACCTTTGTTTTTTAAAAATACTGTTTGGAAATGTGATGGCTGACAAAAAAATGTTAATATACAATTTTCTTTGAGACTCTTGAAAACCACAAAAATTTCCAGTATCATAATGACTACAAATTCTAACATTTGATGTAAAGTCATCATAACTCTTTGCATGCCACAACGACATATATCTAAGGCCAACTTTTTTCAGAATGTACTATAACTAGAATAAAAGCAAATAGGGAGACATATATAAAACGGGAAATACAAAGTAGCTTCACATGGAGGGAGCAATAACTTCACTTACATACTGACTTTGTAAATGTGATCAGCTGCCAATGTCCTGAATATTTATGACACGGGTGTTTTTAACAAGAACGGGACAGCAGCATGGTAACCACTTTTCTACGTATATTTTCTATACAAAATAATTCCAAGATATAATCATTCAGTTCTCGTACAGTACTATTATTTTAAACAATAATCAATAAAATAGCAAATATGTAAAAATTGCAACACCACAAAGACTGAGCACTGCCATTTCCTAGTGTAATCAAAGTTAGTATTAGTACAGTCTTAGCAATGCAATGATTGGACAATACAGGTGTCTTATGCAGAGATTTCAGTAGCAGAATGGCACTTGGTTTGTTCTCAATAGAAATGACAAAGATGCAGTTGACAATTTAAAGAAAGACAATGTTCTTGTTTGCATGCTAAAATTCTAGTTGTGTCCCCTGTATTTGAACACTTTTAAATAATATTGTCTGTCTCTCTGTTCTGCCCACCAGCTCTGCCCCATATTAGCTAACTATCTTATGGGACACTACTTAGCCGGTGCAGTTTGCTTTCACTTTAAATTGGAGATGGAAAAGCGGCAGTCTCCTTCTGAAGTTCACTGTCACTTTAAGAGACTCCGATAAGCGGCAGTGTCTTTCTGTTGTTCACTTTCACTTTAAGAGACCCCGATAAGCGGCAGTCTGGTTTCTTTTTAATCCCTGCTTAACCTGGTGAAAATAAAAAACTGTATAGGAAAATTATCACCCTACCTTGTTAGCGTATTCCCTTGACGACCGGAGCTCCTTTTCTAGGGATGTTGGCCAAACAGCCCACCTTGTCCAGGGTCACTCTGCTGGGGGAAGCCTTCCTTTCAGGGCCCTGTCTAGGCACCAAATGCTGGGAGCGCCTGCGTCCCTGGCTGTGGTCTGATTCCGGCAGAGTGTGAAGAGAGAAAGAATCACAGGCTGGCTGAGAGCAGTGAAGAACAAACTCTGTTTATTGATCTGAGGGCTCAGGCTTATATAGTACTGGATTAAGCAATAGTAACATTATTATTCATGAAAAGTACAAATCTAATTAAGTGATTTCCTTACTTCCTTGTACCTTGTCTGTTACATTCTTTCCTGCGTCCTGTTCTGTACCCCATCTGTTTCCTCCCTTCCTGCATCCTGTTCTCAAGAGACAGAACAGGGGGGTGGTGAGCTGACATCCTGAGTTTCACAGCTGTCAGGCTTAGTACAAACTACAGGTAAGACCCGGGCTAGCCTAAGCCCTCCAACTCCTCAAAGCCGGCCCTCTACAGGTATTTAATTGGATTTTTAATTTGTCCTTTTTCTAGTTTTTTTTAGTTGCATGCCCAATTCATTGATCTCCTCTTTCTCTATGTTATTCATGTAAGCATTTAGAGGTATAAAACTTGCCCTGAGAACTGCTTTTGCTGCATCCCATAGGTTTTGGTATGTTTTCTCATTATTGTCATTCTCTTGAATGAAGTTATTGATTGTTTCTGTGATTTGTTATTTGAATCATTCATTCTTTAGGATTAGGATTATTTGGTTTCCAATTAATTTTTAGTCTATCTTTCCATGGCCCTTTATTACATATAATTTTTATTGTATCATGATCTGAAAAGGATGCATTTAATATTTCTGCCTTTCTGCATTGGATTGTGAGGTTTTTATGCTGTAGTACACCATCAATTTTTGTGTATGTGCCATGCACCGCCGAGAAAAAAGTATATTCCTTTCTATTCCCATTCAATTTTCTCCATAGGTCTATCATATCTAACTTTTCTAAAATTCTGTTCACCTCCTTAACTTCTTTCTTGTTAATTTTGTGGTTAGATTTATCTAGTTCAGAGAGGGGGAGGTTGAGGTCCCCCACTAGTACAATTTTGCTGTCTATTTCTACCTGTAACTCCCTGAACTTCTCCTCTAATAATTTGGATACTATATCACTTCATACTTTATTCTCTATGGTGCGTTTTAGCAGGATGTAGTTTCCTTCCTTATCCCTTTTGATAAGATCTATTTTTGCTTTTACTTTGTCTGAGATCAGAATTGCTACTCCTGCTTTTTTTTACTTCAGCTGAAGCATAATGTATTCTACTTCAGCCTTCTACCTTTACCCTGTGTGTGTCCCTCTGTTTCAAATGTGTTTCCTGTAAGCAACATATTGTAGGATTATAGTTTTTAATCCATTCTGCTGTCCATTTCCATTTTATGGGAGATTTCATCCCATTCACATTCACAGTTATGATTACTATCTGTGTCTTTCTCTCCATCCTGTTTCCCCTAGTTTATGCTTTTCTTTCTCCTCTTTCCCTCCTCACTAGTGCTTTGCTTTTGACTGCCGCTTACCTCAGTCCTTCCTCTCTCAGTCCAACCTCCCTTAATCCTACCTCCCTACTATTAGCCCCCTCTCTTTTCTTCCCTACCCTTACTACTTCTTCCCCCTCTTCTATCCTCCCTCCCTCTTCTTTCCCTTTTCCCCTCCTACTGCCTATAGGGCAAGTGAGATTTCTATGCCTAACTAATTATGTTATTCCCTCCTTGAGCCAAATCTTATGAGAGTAGGTTCAAACAACTCTCATCTCTGTCCCTTCTTTCCCTTTACTGTAATAGGTTTTTATGTCTTTTTCTATAATGTAGTTTAACCTTGTGTGCCTCCTCCTTTCCTTTTCTCCCAGTACAATCCCTTAATTAGATCAGATGAGTCCATTTACTTAGATCCATTTAACCAACTTTATCAGTACATCAAAGTCAACTTATACCCACCCCCTCTAGGTATATCCTTTTATAATGATATAATAACAATACAGTTCTCAAGAGTTGTAAGTGTCATCTTCCCTTGTAGGGATTTTTTTTTCTGTCTTGTTTACCTTTTTATGTCTCTCTTGAGTCTTGTATTTGAAGATCAAATTTTCCATTGAGTTCTTTTCAATCTGGAAGGTTTGGAAGTCCCCTATTTCATTGGATGTCTGTCTCCTCCCCTGAAAGAGTATGCTCATTTTTGCTGGGTAGTTGATCCTTGATTGTAATCCAAGTCCTTTGCCTTTATAGAATATCATATTCCATACCTTGTGATCTTTTAATGTAGAAGCAGCAAGGTCCTACATAATCCTGAATGTGGTTCCATGATATTTAAATTGTTTCTTTCTGGCTGCTTGCAGTATTTTCTCTTTGACCTAATAATTTTGGAATTTGGTTACTATATTCCTTGGTGTTTTCAATTTGGAATCTCTTTCAGGAGATGAGCAGTGGATTCTTTCTATGGCTATCTTACCCTCTGGTTCTAGGACCTCAGAGCAGTTTTCCTTGATGATTTCCTGAAAGATGCTGTCCAGGCTCTTTTTTTATCATGATTTTCAGATAGACCAATAATTTTTAAATTGTCTCTCCTGGATCTATTTTCCAAGTCAGTTGTTTTACCAAGAAGATATTTTACATTTTCATCTATTTTTTCATTTTTTTGTTTCTGTTTGGTTCTTGTTCTTTCATAGAGTCATTAGCTTCCACTTGCCCAATTCTAATTTTTAACAAATTGTTTATCTTCTATTAGATTTTGTACCTCCTTTTCCATTTGGCTTATTTTATTTTTTAAGGAGCTCTCCTCAGTAAGTTTTTGTGTCTCCTTTTCTGTCTTGCCAATTCTGCTTTTTAAGGTTTTTTGTTTGTTTGTTTGTTTTTGCTAGGCAGTGGGGTTAAGTGACTTCCTCAGGGTCACACAGCAATGAGTGTTTTGTGTCTGAGGCTGGATTTGAACTCAGGTCCTCCTGAATCCAGGGCCAGTGTTCTATCCACTGCGCCACCTAGCTGCCCCAGGAGTTGTTTTCTTCAGTGTACTTTTTTTTTCCAGTTGGCCAATTGTATTTTTTGGGACTTGTTTTCTTCAGGGTACTTTTTTCAATTTGGCCAATTATATATTGCTTTTTGGTGAGGTAATCAGGATTAAGTGACTTGCCCAGGGTCACACAGCTAGTAAGTGTGAAGTGTCTGGTCTGAGACCAGATTTCAAGTCAGGTCCACTTGACTCCAGAGCTGGTGCTCTATCTGCTGAGCCACCTAGCTACCCCACCAATTGTGTTTTTTTTATTAATTCATTTTTATTTACCAACTGTCACTTCTATAAGCTTTTGAGTTTTAAATTTTTCTCTCCTTCCCTCCTCACCTCCCTCTCCAAGACAGCATGCACTCTGATAGAGGCTATATATATACATGCCTATTAAATATATTTTCACATTAGTGATGTTGCAAGTAAGAATTAGAACCAATAAGAAGAACCACCAGAAAGAGGAAACAAAACACAACAGAAGAAAAAAAAATAGCAAATAGTATGCTTCAATCTGCATTCAAACTCCATAGTTCTTTCTTTGGATGTAGATAGCATTTTCCATCATGAGGCCTTTGCAGATGACCATAGGTAGTCATCTCACAACGTGGCTGTTATTGTGTATAAAGTTCTCTTGGTTCAGCTCCCTTCACTCAGCATCAAACCATACAAGTCTTTCCAGGCTTTTCTGAAGTCTGCCTGCTCATCATTTCTGATAGCACAATAGTACTCCATTACATTCATATACCACAACGTGTTCAGCCATTACCCAATTGATAGGCAATCCCTTCAATTTCCAATTCTTTGCCACCACAAAAAGAGCTGCTATAAATATTTTTGTACATGTAGATACTTTTCCCATTTGTATGCTCTCTTTGGGATATAGCCCTAGAAGTCCAACTGTATTTTGTAAGGACTTGTTTTCTATAGTTAATTTTTGTGCTTCCTTTCCTAAGCTATTGACTCTTTCTTGCATACCTTTCATTTCTTTTTCCCATTTTTCTTTTACCTTTATTATTTGACTTTTAAAATCCTTCTTGAGCTCTTCCTAGAAGGTTTTTTAGGTTTCAGACCAGTTCATACTCCATTTTGAGGTTCCAGATGTGAGTTTGTTGACAGTGTTGTCCTTTTCAGAATTTCTGCCTTGATCTTCACTGTTCCCATAATAAGCATCTATGATACGTTTCTTTTTGCTCATGGTGTTTGCTTATTTCCTGGCCTTTAAAAAAATTTAGCTCTCCTCTTGGGGAGTGGGAGACACTGACCCAAGCTTCTTGTGCTGGGAGCCCAGGGCCTGGTCACTGGCTTTGTGTGCTGGGGCCTTAGATGCTGGCAGTTGGAGGCTATAGGGTTCTGGCAGCTTGCCTGGTGTTGGGCTGGAATCAGTACCACTGAAGCTCTAGGGGTATGGGTGGGGAGTCTGGCCCCTGGAGGATGCCTGCTTACCCTGGCCTTTCCCTTTCTTTGGCTCCTTGCAGATGGATGTTTTGCTGCTGCAGGATGTTGCTCTGCCTGGGGCTTTCCCTCTTGGAGTTGTGCTTTCCAGAGTTTTGCTGAGACACCAGGAGACTTGGCTGCCGGAGAACAATGTGGCATGTGGCAGTTTTCCAAGTTGGTTTCCACTGGTTCCCCTGCCCGTACTGAGACACTTGAGGGGTCCTAGTGTTGGTGCTTGCCTGCTTCACCACTTGGGGTTCAGGCTTTCCCCCTGGTATGCTGAGGTGGAGCTTTCCACTAGCTTTCTGGGACATCTCCCACTGCTCCCCCTCCCCCAGGGCAAAAGGGGCCTTTCCTATTAATCCCTCAAGCTTCCTGGGCTGTAGCACTGCTGCACCCTGTCATTCTACCGGTTCAGCTGTTCCAGGGTTTTTCCTGAGGTTATATTTTCTGGGCTTTCAGAGGTTAATAAGGGAGAGTGAGAGCGACTTACTTCTTACTGGCCATCTTGGCTCCTGGAAGTGGAACTCATTCCTCCATCTCTTTTGGAAGAATTGTTTCCAGGTGCAACATCCTCAGTCAGGAGATGTGGATTTATATATTAACACCACCTGTAGCTATCTTTGCAGATATATTCCCTAAAGCCAAGGAGCAGTTATAACCACAAATGTGAAAGGGATTTGATGCCACAGAAATTTTACAGCATCAGAATACTGGAGAGATATGCATGACTAGTATAATATCTGGTCATTGCTACTATGTAAGACTGCACAAACTAAATAGAAGGCAATTTGGGAAGGAGAGGATGAGTAAATGGGTGGCTTCAGGAAAGGCTTAATGTGGGTGGTACTTGAACTGAGTCTTGAAGGAAACAAGGAATTTTAAGGGGTAGGAGGGAGGATGGGAATGTGTTCCAGGAATGGGGGACAGCCGAAGCATAGAGATAGGAGAAGTATCATGTGTGAAAAGTAGTAAGGTGAGTGTGGTTGACCTGCAGTGTTCAAGAAACACTGTAGTGTGGAGTAAGACTAGAGAGGTACAAGGTGGCCACAGTTTTAAATGCCACACAAAGGAGAGGATTGTTGATAGTAGAGTGAAGGAGGAAGTCACTGGAGCTTAAGTAGAGGAATGACTTGTTTTTAGGAAAATCACTGGCAGCTCTGTGGAGGAGCCCAGTTAGGAAATTATTGTGCAATAGTGCAGATATGTTGAGAACATGAGCTGTGTTGGTGCTTACCTGAGTATAAAATGTTGGGGATAAGGGAGGTATTGGAAAGGTATAAAAGACAAGATATGCCAACTAACTGAATAGGGTGTGTGTGTGTGTGTGTGTGTGTGTGTGTGTGTGTGTGTGTGTGTGTGTGTAAAAAAGAGTAAGGAGTGAAGAAAATGCCAGGGTTGCATTTTTAGAAGACTGGAAAGATAGTGTATTCACCCACCTTGTGAGTGATATTTTCATCAAGTGAGTACAGTAACAGAAATCTAAATATTCAAATACTGTCATTTACTTGTGGCAATCTGCCCCTATCGTCATTTTTGTAAAATAGTGTTCTAATAACTGTAATGATGACAATTGGATTTCCAGACTATTGCATCTGATTTTATTAGGAACATTCAGGAAGAGGAGTTTTGTCATTCTCATGATCAAGCAGCCAATCAGTCAGCCACAATTATCAAATGAAAGTAACCAGGAAGCAGGAAGCAGCCTGGATCCAAGACCGTACAGGATAGATCCTTATAGTCCACTTGTGTAAAGAACTCAGAAAGGCTCATCATTTTGTGAGAAACAACAGAACTGCATGACAGGAGGCTAGTCTTCCTGGTCTCTGCAGAAAATCTTCCATACTCTTGTCAGACACTTTTTTAGATGTTTGAAACTAAGTGAGCTCCCATCATTAGTGGGATTTTAGTTTAATGCCAGGACATGTACATCTTTGCTAATCAGTAGCTTAAACAAGAGTATGATTTCCACACAACTGTGTACCCAGGGTAACTGTTTCCAGTATAACTTTCCAGGTAACTCTCCATTTTCCAGCAGCAGCTTTCTGCTTTGTTTGGACTCTGTGCAGCATGGTACTCCACCCAGGATAAGCTGATCTCACCTGAAATCTCATGTTCTTGCTAATTAACTTAGCTTTGGATACCTTATACCTTCTTAATTCCCTTGGTTTCCTCTCTCTCCCCTCTGTCTGTCTGTCTGTCTGTCTGTCTCTCTCTCTCTCTCTCTCTCTCTCTCTCTCTCTCTCTCTCTGTCTCACTTCCCTAACCCTAACCCTAAATACTCAGGCTCTGGAGGGCCTGAGGGTAGAACATTAACCTCCTCCCAAAGCTTTCCTTTATAGAGAGCTGGAATTTAGTTTTTCCTGCTAACTTTCCACTTTACATCCACAGCCCCATATCTCCTGGTTGCTCTCCTCCCCTTTGTGTATTATCTTCCCCCGTTAGATTATAAGCTCCTTGAAGGCAGGGGACTGTTTCTTTTTCTTATATGTGTCCCTGGCACTTAGCACATTGCCTAGCTTAATAAATGTTTATTGAATTGAATTTGAATTGGTAGGACAGAGGAAAATGCCTCTGTCTATTTGGGAGTGCCCATGGGGAATTCAGCCAGTGGTGCCATAATATAAAAGGACAGAAGAATCAGCCTTGATTAGCAGTAAGGATGACATCCCAGAAAAAATTTTTGATGGCTGTCAACCCACTGATGAGTTGCTCATAAATAAACATTTAATTTCATTTAAAGAGTGGTACAATATTCAAGAGTGCTCTATTTCCTGGAGAGAGGCACTATTCTGGCAAGAAAGGGTTAACTTTTCCACAGAGCTATAACTTTTACCTATCCTACTCTACAAGGCAGGCAGGGTTAATTTCTTGCCATTGACTGTGGCCTCTGATCATGCAGTTCCGTTATTGAAGTATGTGCTTTTGACGAACAGTAACACTTTTATACATAGAACAAAAAAAATTGCATGTGAAATTGAACAGTTGTGTTTTTTGGGGGTTTTTTGTCTAGATTAAATTTAACATGATAACAACCTACTCTACCTGGTATGTCTTCTTTTCTGAAGTTCTGGTCTCTTTTGTTCTTTTTTTTTTTTAATGAGACTCTTTTTTAAAAAAAAAATTTATACTCTTAAGGTTCAAACTCTGGCCAAGATGTTGCCAAATGATGAACATATTGTTTGTGATGCTGTAAGGTGCAGTAGAGATATGTGGAACACAATAACCAAGCAGTGAAGCAGTTTGACAAGCCCAAAAGAAGTATTTGGAGTGAGGTATGATATGAATTTTATTAAACAGAGCTAGCAATATTAATTTATTATTCGCATTCACATGTTTTCTGTATCTTGAGCATTATTTATTAATTTAACATATTTTATGTAAATTTTAAATATAAAGGATATATACTCATACCTCATATACTTGCCATTGTGGTTTTACACAACTTTTACTTGATTGACTTTTATTTTTTTAACTTTTTTTTTGAGTTTTAAAAACTGATTATTTGCTACTGCTGTCAATATGACACTTCCATGATTACTTCTACGCTTTTGTTAAAGTGTATTTGCTAATATGTTGCCTGATAATTAATGTTAATGTGTTGGGTTATTTTCAATAAGTGTTGTTTTGATTTTGCAGTTAATTTGATCTCCTGGTCCCTCCTGAAAGACCTTCTTGGTGATACCCTTTGTTGTACCAGTTGGCTTTTATTTCATCTCTGGATTGTCCAGTTCTGTGGAGCCTATATTACCTTCACCACCTTCTTACAACATCTGGATCTTCTTCATCCACCTTCTTCCGTTCATCATCCAGCCAGTCTTCTTTGAAGGCTCTTTAACTTTGTGGGTGATCCTGCTTCTTGAATAGAGAACTCTGTCATTTAATGGCTCCAGAGGAAAATGAAAGGGGTCCAGTTAAGAATTCCTTTGCAGAAAAGGAAGGACTCTTCCCTGGTTTTTGTACTGGCTATTTGTTGAACCAGCTATTTATTTTCAATGTGACCTAGAGAAACACTACTGGACTAGAGAAGGCTAGGAGAGTCAAATAGTTCTAGGCTTGGAAGAGGCACTTTGACCTGACTTGGTGATGTCAAACCAGAAAACTACCAGAAAAAACCAAAGAAACAAACAAAAAATACCCAGGCTCTCTTCTCCCTCCCTCTGGAATTCTCAACCAGGAACTCCATGGAATGCATGACAACAACTCCTGTACCTATCAGTTCCCAGCTCCTTCAACCTGTTCTATTTCCAAGTTCTTTTAATTCACGTAAGTTCAATTCTCCTTATTTCTCTCTTTCTTCCCTTTAGATCCTTCTACTTATTCCCACTTAAGTGGGTTTTAATTGCAGTATATTATCAGAGGCATATACCCTCAACAGCATACATTTGGATTACTTTGGAGGCGTTTAGCAAATTCTTTGGCGTCAGTGACATGTGCTATGCTCTGGTTAAGTCATACATGGATGATCTGATCTGAATGAAGATTGTGTTGAGATTATCTATGGATTTGTCATACTGGTTTTGCCCTGACTATTAATATATATAACAGATGACAGGATTATCTTATGCAATGTCCTTTACAAGATTAACATTTTTAGTATTACAATGTGGCAAAGTGAATAAAAGTGATTACTGCAATGCATTCCATAATGTCTGGTATCGGTAGTCCTATAACCTGGTTTATAATGTACACAGTTATGGTATCTATTTTTATTTTATTTTACTTTTTTAGTTTTTAGGAGAGTTGGAGTTAAGTGACTTGCCCAGGGTCACATAGCTAGTAAGTGTCAAGTATTTGGTCTGAGGCTGAATTTGAACTCAAGTTCTCCTGACTCCAGGGCCAGTGCTCTATCCACTGCACCACCTAGCTGCCCCAATAATGGTATCTATTTAAGATTGTTGTCACTGCAAATTCCTCTTTAACTGTAATCCAATTGATATTCCATGGACATATATCAATATTGTTAAATTTATGGCTACTCTCCTTAATGTCCAAATTCATGCCAAGTCCTTTCCTACATTTGTATTCTCTTTATGTTGAGTGTAGGTGGTATCAACCCCATGAGGTAGAAAGCTCTTTGAAAAGGGTACCATGGGGCAGCTAGGTGGCTCAGTGGATAGAGCACTGGCCCTGAAGTCAGGAGGACCTGAGTTCAAATCCGGCCTCAGACCAAACACTTGACACTTACTAGCTGTGTGACCTGGGCAAGTCACTTAACCCCAATTGCCTTAAAAAGAAAAAAAGAAAGAAAAAGAAAAAGGTATCATGTTTTACACATCTTTGTATTATTTTCCCTTTTGTTTCTTTAGAGAAACTTGCCACTGTGGATTCAATTTTTTTTCTATCCTGTCAATTATTTCTGCTGCGTAGACCACAATTCATGTTTTCACAGTTAGTGTTTTTCTTGTAAACCATTCAGGAGTGCACTGCTCTGGTTCCATGCTTTCTTTTAAATCCATATGATTCTCTGCATTATCAAGTGTTGGTTTCTTTTCCTTTGTCCTGTGCTATTTTTTCATCAATGTCTGGACTTGGTTGGCTGCTCTTGAAGCCACATTCCCTTCTCTTATTCATATCTTCACTGTTAGTTCATTTATTTATTCTCTGGGTCTATAATTTGGTTTTCTTCCTCCTGAGATCTTTGGTCATTCTTTTCATTATGTTCTCTTGCTTACTTTCTCTTTCCCTTCTGATTTCAGTAGCATGGGGACTAGACCTCAAAGCCATGTCAGATTCATCTCATGATTCTCTGGCCTCAGCCCCCAGTTAACTTTTGGGAGACTGAATTAGTCCTAGCTGGGTTCTGGACCCTTCCTCTCAGGCTTAGTGGAGGGTGACAAATGTGTCCTGCCCCAGTTTTCTCTGTTCTTCAGTTCTCTGGCTGATCTCTTTTGAAGGACATGGCACTACCATGCTGCTTTTTCAGCCAAGACAAACTCCTGCCTATTGGTTTCTCCCTGAGCTATAAAGGCATTTGCAGCCCTGCCCTCTTGGAGAGTGATGTGGGAGAGGGTGGTGTTGAGTGAACAAGTTAAAGGTTAGGGCAGGGGTGGGGAACCTGGCCTTCTAGGTGCTTGAGTTAGGCCTTTTGACTGAGTCCAAACTTTACAGAACAAATCCTAGGCCTAAAGGGCCACATGTGGCCTTGAGACTGCAGGTTCCCCCCCCCCCCAGGTTATAGATGACAGGCATATCACATTTTATTACACTTTGCTTTATTGCACTTCACAGATATTGTGGCTTTTCTTTTTTAATTGAAGATTTGTGGCAACCCTGCATCAAACAAGTCTATTGGCACCATTTTTTCCCATAGTACATACTCACATCATGTCTTTGTGTCACGTTTTGCTAATTCTTACAACGTTTCAAACTTTTTCATTATAATTATCTCAGTTATGGTGTGATCAGTGATCTTTGATGTTACTATTGTAATTGTTTTAGGATACCATATAAGATGATGAACTTAATAAATGTTGTGTGTGTTCTGACTGCTCCACTGATTGGTCATTCCTCCATCTCTCTCCTTCTCCGTGGGTCTCCCTATTCTGTGAGACACAATATTGAAGAATATTACACAAACTTAGTTGACAGCAGCAGGGTTTGAGACGATTTGACTCCAATTTTGAAAGAAGTTCTATTGTGGGTAAAAATTCTATTAAACAAAAAAAATTCCATTTAACAGTATTTCATACTATGGAGAAATCTTTTGTGAAAGAGTCAGTCTATGGGGCAAAATTCATTGTCTTATTTTAAGAAATTGCCAACCACTATCCTGATCGGTCAGCAGTCATCAATGTAAGGCAAGACCCTGCACCAGCAAAAAGATTATGACTTGATGAAGGCTCAGAGGATGGTTAACACTTTTAGTAATAAAGTATTTTTAAAATTAAGGTATATACATTTTTAGACATAATACTACTTGAACACTTAGTAGACTACAGTACAGTGTACACATAACTTTTATATGCACTGGAAAATAAAATTCAGGTGACTCGATTTATTGCAATATTTACTTCATTGCAGTGGTCTGGAACTGAACCCACAATTTCTCCAAGGTATGCCTGCAGCCTTCTCTGCAATTAGTTCAATGGGGTTTTTTTACCTTGTTTGAGTGCTTGGTGTCCTACATAATGGAGAGAGCTGAAATTTACTTTATCTCTTGCACTACTGTTTTGATCTCTTAACCCAGAAATGATTAATTATTTACCTTTTACAGGGATATTGAAATACTATTCTTGTTAATAATTTACTATTTATCCTGTTTATTCTACTTATCTTGCTTTGTATATATTTGTTTGCATGTTATTTTCCCCCATTAGACTGTAAACTCCTTGAGAACAGGGACTGTCTTGCCTCTTTTTGCATACCCAGTACTTAACACAATGCCTGGTGAATAGCTGGCACTTAAAAATGTTTATAGGTTATTGTTTTTATATCCTGTTATTATTGTTAGAAAGATATTGAATATATATGGTTTATTTCATTGGTAATTTTTTTAAGAATGAAAATTTCAGATTTATATCATTACAATGTGGTGATAGTTGTACATTTGCTTTTTTAATTATTGATTAGTTAAAATTCTATATAACATCTTTTCTTATCAGATTAATACCAGATAAGTCTTCTATGTGAAGATAATATATTAAAGGGAGTTTTGAAACAGAGAGATGTAATAGGGACTTGCTCTCTCCTTCCCACACATCCACCTCAGTACTGAAGGACTTCTGGAAATGGTTTACCTCCCCTTAGGGAGTAAGTTTTCTGTTTAATAGAAAGATATGGCTTTCTTTTTCAGGGAGTATATCTGTCAGAAGCTCTGATTTTCCCATTAAGTATGGAAGAACACATTTTCTTTGTGCCTAGTAGAGGTGGGGAAGCAGAGGCCTTATGCTATCGGTGTTGTAGGGAAAAGGGAGAAGGAAAGTTTTTTGTTTTATATTGTCTATTGGCTGATATTAAACATAGAGAATTATTAAATGAAAGGGGTGTACAGACTGTTCAATTTTGCCCCAGAGGACATTTTTCAGCAAAAAAGACATGATAAGTTTGGTAGCCTTTTGGTAGGAATAAGGCTGAGACACAGTGCTTGCAAAATAAAAAAAACCAAAACTTTCAAATAGAAATCTCTGATTTTGTCTAAAGGATGTAATAAGGATATTAGTAATGCTATTTTGAAGAGAAATCTGAAGAACAGGCTGGAAACATTAAATCCTACAGGGGAAATTACTTTGTGGTGGTTGGTGAAAAGAATCCATTTTTGAGTTCAATTCTTATCCTGGAATCGGGCTCATCCTGTTGTTGTCATTGTCATTTAGTTGTTCAGTCACGTTCAACTCTTCATGATCCTGTGAATCATAGCATGTCAGTACCGTCCATGGAGTTTTCTTGGCAAAGATACAGGAATGGTTTGCCATTTCCTTTTCCAGTGGCTTAAGGCCATCAGAATTTAAGTGACTTGCCCAGGGTCATACACCTAGCAAGTATACGAGGCCAAATTTGAACTGAGATGTTTCGGACTCCAGGCCCAGTGCCCTAACTATTTAGCTACCTTGCTGCCTCCATACTGTCATTAGGCAGCTGGAAAATTGAAAATTGATTTTAATTCTATTTTGCTGAGACTTAATCAGGTGTGGGGATTTTCAAAATTGTCCAATCTACAAGAAAAAACATTGAGGCAGAGTTCTGAGCCAATGCACTATATGAAAACGTCTATGACCCCCTCTAATAAAGTGGGCCTCAGATCTTCCTCACCATCTGTGATGCCCACTTTCTCCAGGGTCTTAGTTTTATAGTGCTTGCTACCTGGACAATACAGGTGAAGCAGACCAAAAAACCAGAATCTCATCAGTTGACAAATGGGCTAGTGAGCAGACCTTAACAGATCTATCTTGACCTTTCGGGAGGTCCTACCAAGCTGAAGAGCTTTAGACTGATAGGTGGATGCCAAAACATCTACATGGGCCAACAGATCAATAGAAGGGCAGACCAGAGGCCGGCAATCTCTCCATGTTGGGCAATAGAGAGATGACAAAGGATGGAGAGGCAAAAAAACAGCTGGGAGACTTTCCATGTTAATAAAACCTTAGAACTTATTACTAAAACATACTTAAAGCTTAAATTTTCATGTTAGATAAATTTGGAAGCCAATCATATACATCTGTATGTAGTTCTTAGATAAAACAGCCTGATTCTGTTGCTTTTCTCAAAATTACTGTTCCAATTAATTAAAAAATTTTTTTGACATTACGTCTTTGTCTTATTAACTTGTTTAATCACACCTAGGGAGCCTCCTCACCCTGAAAGTTCGCTCTGCCTCTAGATTTCTCACACTGGAAATATGCTTTGCCACAGAGGTACCTTTCCCATTGGCTGGTTCCTCCCAGAAGCTCCATTTTAAGGAAAGTACCCCATCTTAATTCCTCTCCAGGATCCACTCCTGACTCTCTAGGTTTTCTCTGCCATGCCCCTTCACAAATACCTTCTTTCTTCCAACCCACTCTGGGCTTTTCAGCTTCCAGGTATGTATTGTCTTCTCCATTAGAAGGAAGGTCCTTGAGGGCAGGGACTGTCTTCTTTCTGCTTGTATTTGCATTCACAGCAGTTAGCCCAGTGCCAGGCCCATGGGAAGCACTGAATAAATGCTTGTTCCCTTGATTTGACTATGTTTGGGTAATAGAAATTCCAACTACCAATGATGACTTTTCTCTAAATATTGATATTTGTGCAGAAATTTTAAAATTTAGTTGTGGAATTTGTGATCTGATTTGTGTAGAGGACAATTCTGGGCTTTGATCCACACCGCAGGAAAAGAGATATCCTGGCCTATGAAGAAGATCTAACCATGTTGGCTGACACCTCAGAATCACTCCTAAGAATGTTGAATAATGTGAGTGAGGTCAGAGATGAAATGTGCTATTGTTAAGTATTGATGGCAAATAAAAGCCTGTACTCCCTATCCAATGTGAGATCCAAAAGTAAGGGATTTCCATGACTACAGAGAAGACATAATTCTAGCTAGAAATCACTATGAGGTACCACACCACAAATCCAGCCTAACATGCAGTATTGACTATGACACCAAACCTAGATTGTTCAAATCTAGCACCCTGGCAGAAATGTAGGTCCAGTCAACATTTTTATTTGACCCTGCATTTCCTTTCAACTTATGGATGGTGTGCTCCCAAAGAGTACCCTTAGCCTCTTGGATTGAATAAAGAAAAATGAGAGCTAATATTGAACCTCTGTATATCTCTTCTTCTGGGGCAACTAGGTAGTGCAGTGGATTGAGTGCTGGGCCTGGAGTCAGGAGGACCTGAGTTCAAATTTGGCCTCGGACACTTCTTTAGCTGTGCGACCCTGGGCAAGTAACTTAACCCTCTTTGCCTCAGTAAGTGCAAAATGAGCTGGAGAAGGAAAGGGCAAACTGCTCCAGTATCTTTACCAAGAAAACCCCAAATGGGGTAATGAAGAGTTGGACTGGACTGAACAACAAAGCCTCTCTTCTGGAAGTGTAGGGGAAGGGTTGTGAACTTGCTGTCCCTGGTTATCGCCATTGGTATCCAACAGGCGATTCATGAGGTGAGATGACTTGCTTCAGTGGATTTGGGCAACTCTCTCACCATTTCCTCACTGATTCTGTGAGCCACAGAGTTACACCTTATTCAAAGCCAGAGAGTCTTGCTGCACACCTGAATGGTTTGGAGCATTTACCAATTAGCATTTACTTACCTTGTGGCCTGATGGAGGCAGAGCTTGGAAATGAGGGAGCAAATGCATCCTGGGTACAAGTCCGATTTTCACCACAAAGGTCAAAGTCGACTAGAAGGCAACCAACAGGGTTTGAGCCTTGTGCCTCTGTGATTGGCTTCCATAGTGATAGAAGAACTGCAGCAAATGTTTTGCCAGTTTTATAAGCAGCAGTTAGTTGACAGACTAGACCAGGGTAATGTATATTTGGTCTCTTCTCTGGCTTCAACCTTAAATTAATATGTGAGCAAAGGCATTCTTTACCTGGTTAGCAAACTTGAGTTTTATTCACAGAGCCAAGTTAGACTGTTTCCCTTTGATACCAGGAGATTGGGCTCCAGAGACAAACACTGCCATCAGTTTGGTGTACATTCTGTGCCACTATAAACATCACTACAGCTGGCCTATCATCCTGCAACACAATTTAAACAGACCAGTAAAAACCATGACAATGCCAAAGATCACCAAGGTTTGGGCAAACCTAACTTCCCGGAGACATGGACCTGAATGTTAAGATCATATCCTGTGAAGATTGGAATTGAAGGAAATGAACATGTGATTTGGGGGTGGTGGGAGAGGTGATGGGGAAAGGCTTGATATGATAGTTATCTTTTAATATCTGGGGAGCTGTTAAGTGAAATTGGGATTATAGTAATTTTGCTTGGTTCCAAAGGGCAGAGCTAGGAGTTAGAAACTGTAGAGAGGCAGATTTTCAAGAATCAGTGTTGCTGCCTCCAGAGTTGGTGTGTGTATTGTGTGTGTTCCTGCTTTGGGGGAGGGTGGAAAGGGGGATCTGTAGTAGATTTCCTCCTCATCACTGGAAAATTGTAACACTGTCACCTACCTCTTTTTTGATGGGGACTGCCCACACCTCATATCATCCTATAGTCTTTTCCGTCAGTAACCTGAAGTGAGGTTGGTGTCTTCATCTTCTCTCTGGAAGCCAGAAGCCAATGAGATGTTGCAATGGAAAAATATTTGAAGATTCTTGCTTGAAGAGTCCCTAAAGATGAAGAATCCCAAAGTAGGACTCAAAGGAGACTCTCACGTGAGAGTCTCAAAAAGGCACCCACTGAGAGCTCTCACCTTTTGCCAACTCTGCCCTGACTCTCACACAGCCATCCATTTCCACCAATAAGGAGAGAGTCTCATACCAATAGGCTTTAGGGTAGGGATTACACTAAATTAATAAAGAGTGAAAAACAAGGGGTGGAGAAGTATGAATGAGGAATGGAGATGTAAGGAATTTAACGCTGATATTATCCTCTCAGCCAGAGGCTGAGGCAATGTTCCCCATATCTCTCTATAGCAATGTCAGTTAATGTCAGACCAAGACCAGGACCAGGACCAAGACCAAGACCAAAGCCCGGCACCTGGCCTGATCGAGTTAGGCTGAGGAAAACCCTTGAAGTTTGCGCAGCTTCGCTTTCCTTTCCTCGTTAAAAGTTCCTCCGAACAGCCATTAGATGGCGGTGTGCATTCGGACAGGCTTGGTGAGTGACGTCGTCAGGAAGAGGCAGGGTGTATGCAGATGAGATTTCTGGTCCCGTTTTCTCCGACCGGGGTCTTGCGGCTGGAAAACAGAGATTTTTGGGGGGTCGGAGAGGCCTAGCTCCTTTTGTCTTGTTCGAAGTGCTGGAAGCATGTGTAGTTTGTGTATATATAGCGTGTTGTGTGAGACGCGGAAGTGTGGTGTAAGTGAGCATGACTTTGGAGTGTGTGTGTGGTGGAGGAGTGCGCGCGTGTGAACAATAACAGCATACTTACATGGCAGGGGTGATTCCATGATCACGAAGGTGGTATTTCCGAGGGGAAGGTTTATCCATTGCACTCGGGATGGGCTGACCCCTGCGATTTCCCCAAATGCGGGAAACTCGACTGCACAATTTGTGGTAGTGGGGGACTGCGTTCGCGCTCTCCCCTGATTAGTCGTTTTAAAAGAAGTAATGATTCTGGTTTGTAGGGTTGTAACTGTGCACGATAACAGCAGTGAGGTTGTGTTTAATTTCCGCTGGTTGCTTTTGCTGTTGCTGTTAGTAGACTGAAAGTTCAGTGTTACAGATGTTGGGGGTTTCTTTTTTCAACGACACTATAACGTTTTTTTAGTGTATATAGAAGAGAACTAATTGAGGGAACGCATATTTTAAGAAGGGTTGTCTGTGTCACAAACAACACACATTTCTTCAAGGATTAAACTACACCCTTTCTCTCTCCTGCTCTTCGAGGAGCGGGCCGCCACCACGAACATCAGAACCAGGAAGTTCATGACAAACGGACTTCTTCAGCGTTAACAGGTGGTTACAGATGTCCTTCATCCTGGAAAGGCCACAGTGCCCAAGACTGAAATTCGAGAAAAACTGGCCAGGATGTATAAGACAATTCCAGACGTCATTTTTGTCTTTGGATTCAGAACTCATTTTGGTGGTGGCAAAACAACAGGCTTTGGCACGATTTATGATTCCCTTGACTATGCAAAGAAAAATGAACCAAAGCACAGACTAGCAAGGCATGGCCTGTATGAGAAGAAAAAGACATCAATAAAACAGCAAAAGGAACGCAAGAACAGAAAGAAGAAAGTCAGGGGTACTGCAAAGGCAAATATTGGTGCTGGCAAAAAGAAGGATTAAAAGGCAGTATGGAAATTGTTTATCCGTGAAGAAAATTTTTCATCAGAGCATAAACTATGTAAAAACTTTTTTAAAAAAAAAGTTAAAGTACAGTTACAAATATGATATACTTGCAAACTTCTTCGAGTGCACTTAAGGCAACAGGGAAAACGTGCAATTAGCCTTTGCCTTTTCCCCATGTAATTGCTGTCAAAAAAAAAAACCCTACTAGGATACATCCTCCACATTCCAGGATGCATAAAAGTCAAACTTGACACCTGAAAGAGATCACTTACAGGAATGTCATAGCCAAGTTTCATAATTGCCAGGTTAAAGATAATATTGCAGGCAACAAAAAGGGGGGGGGGAATTTAAATACTTCAGAAAAACAATCAGGATTTCACAAGACCTAGCAGCTTCTACCTTAAAAGACTACAGGTTTTGGAACATTATATTTTGAAGAGCAAAGGACGTGGTGTTGCGTCCAGGAAGGACATTTGATGAACTGAAAAACTTTTGGGTATTTGTAACAAAAAGACCAGAACTCAAAGGAATATTCGATATTTTTAAAAGATCCAGAAGAAATATAAGTTAATCATTAAGACTATAAAACACTGAAGGGTCAGTTATGATACATAAAAGTGTTATTATTAGTAATTATCAGTAGTATTATTTAAAGCAGTTCTGTACAACATACCTTCAGGTCTACATTTTACATGGGCTACCTGAAATCCTCTTAGGGATCTAAATGGTCCACAGGCCGAATATTGTGCAGCTCTACTTTAGACTTATTACTAAGGTAGTTTGAAAGACGGTTGGAGCTGAGTTGTGTATGATGTTGATTGTAAAAAACAAAATTGGGTAGTAAAAGGTTAAAAAATGATTTATAAAAATATGGTCTGAAAGTTAGAACACACAGAAAGGAAGGGCGAGGGTGGAAAGCTGGTGGTATTTATGGGTTAACGAAACAACGTACATACCTGAACACGTTTTGCAAGTATTCCGAACTTCTACAGAAATCAAAAAACTGACGCAATGTAAGAACTACAAAAAATTAACTTCTGAAAAGAACGGCAAAACAACGAATTAAGAAAATCCGCTTTGTTGTTTTATTAATTATGGCTTGAACACTATAAGTTCAGAATGACAAAACTAACAAACTTAATCAAATCAGTTCCAGCACCTGAAAAAGTAAAACATCTGAAAAAGCCTATCGTAACAACCACATACCGAACAAAACATACAGAAGAATATTTAAGCGAACGTAGTACACCACCGCCAACCTTCACGATTCTAGCGCTTAGCTAAATACTAGCGCCTAAGCAAGCGAAACCTAATACATTAATAAACTCACTCTGGTAAAAGAACTAGCGTGATTACAAAATGTAGATTTCCAAGTAAATTTATCCTTTCTCGCCGCACCCCACCACTCCCTCCACGCACACACACTCTAAACGCACGATCACTCACGCGGCGCTTCCACAGCCCAACGACACACGCTCCACAAGCACAAACCGCCAACACCCGCAAGCGCTTCAACCCCTCCCAACTCGCCTCCCCTCCGACCCCCAAATCCACCTTTTCCAGACGCACTATCTGCTTGGTCTCCTCATCTGCATAACGGTCTGTCCCTTACTGACGTCACTCGCCAAACCTGCACCACAGGCGACCACCGTCTATTGGCTGATCATACTCCCCGCATTATCTCGACAATGACTCCATGCAGGCCAATCAGCTACTGTTCCCTGCCCTGTTGTTTGAGTCCTGAACCTGTCCCTCATAGAGATCCAGGTCAGTGGGTCATCTACTTTAGCTCTCGCCTCTACCAGATGACTTCATCCATCTCTTTCTAAAACTTTTTTTTTCTTTCAGTTCTGGCTTTGTTCCCAACTGACTGGATGTCAACAGAAATTGTACAGGATCAGAACCCTGCAGAGGATAGGGCACCATCACTTCTACATAACCATGTGCACACAAACAAGAGTCAAAACTGGTTGGAAGTCAGGCAGGGAGAGGAAGTGATTGTGCCTTAAGACATTCCCTGCAGAACTGCAGGAAGTGAAATACTCGTTGTGATGAGATGTACTAATACTACAGGCAAGAGGAAAGGAAGGGTACAACAAGGGAAGGAAAAGTGCACATGCAAATAACTTGCTCCCTCGGTTTCTTTTTCATTTTAGGTTTTGCTGCATTGGCTTCACTTTCTTGAAATGAAGGAGGGTAGTTTTTGCTTTAAATAGTAGGTGACACTTTTCTTGGGGGTCACAGATATTTCTGTAAGTGCAGGGTGTACCGTGAGACTCTTCCTCCTCTCCCGTGGCATAATCACCACCACGTAAATTATGCCATAACCAATAAACACAAGTCCACGCTGGAGCAGTTGATGAAGAGCCCAAAGTTCATACTAGCCAGATAGTTTCAGGTCTAAGTAGAAAAGTCACTTTGCCCTCCTTTGGTCTGATTTCAAACCGTGACAGCTACAGTCATCCATGCGACAGTTCCATTCAAAAACAGATGGCCTACCGCTTTTGGGACTTCCAGAATAAGCCAACAAAATCTAAGCATCAACAGCAGTGTTCTGCCCAGCATTTGGGTCAAGATATGGATCAATTGAGCAGAGCTATATATTACATTTCCAAATGAGAC